TGTTCGTGGAATTGAAACTTTTGAACTAGAAACAACTTTATTGCAAGATAAACTCCTCTAATGAACAGCGAATATAACAATCTCTGAGAAACCAATACATGATAATAATAATACACAGTTCATATAACACAAGTATAACATTTGGTGGTACTCCAGTGGATCACGTTCCAGATACAAGTCCCATTGTGAGACAAAGTTTTCTATCGGTCTAGCCTTAACCTTCTGCCCCAAAAGTTCCTCGAGAACTGCATTACTGGGTGGGGTGGAACGTCTGGTGCTGGCGAGTGCTCGTACTGGCGTTGTTTATATGATAATTGTTTTAGGTGTGACGCCGAGAATGCAGGAGGGGAAAAATTCGGTGTGATCTTGTGAGGAGTTAATGGGGAAAGGGCCTTGCAGGTGTGGTTGCTTCAGACAGTCGTATGCAGCATTTTTCGTGGTAAGGACAATAGTCATCATGACCGCATCTCTGTTCAGGTGTGAAAAGACATGTTGAATATAGTAAAAATTACTACTTTATTAACTGAAAAAAAATGAAATTATTCGCGATAATCTAAACATTTCATATGAAAACTAGACAACTTAATATTAAAGTGAATTTAGTTTGATTTTATAAAACAATTTGGCTCCTTCGGATTTATTCAAGAAATCTTCACATTTATAGACAGAGGCTCAGTGGATTATTCATTAATTTACAGGAAAGTTCAGGTGCAAGAAAAAAAAAAACAACTTACGATAGGAGGGCCGACGACCAGTCGAGTGGCGAACCTTGCGCACGTTATACTTTATTCTACCTGGGTGGGGTTCTGATGAAAAATGATTTAAAGTTAATATCTGCTCTAAATAAGTATATTTCAGAAAAATAAGTTAATCAAACTGTATAGTCATATACTAATGTATAAAAATTGATAAAAAAAATAACCTAGACTTGTATTTTCGACAATCATTTGGTTTGAATTAATGCAGCAGTAGCTAGCACCAGCGTTGACATCCTCTGGAAATTGCACCAGTAGACACAACTGGGAGTTGAAGGATGGCTGAAACTATTGACAAGAGCCACAGTCACGACGATCATCACTACCAAGATGCGCAGCTGTGGGTAACCCTTACATTAACTCAAGTAACATCACGGTACACGAAATATACATTATAACTAAATATACATGACCCAAGTACAACAAAACAAATGACCAACGTCAAGTTGTCACTGACCATTATAGTTGACAGAAGACGTTGGTGATGTAGTTTAGACGACGAGGTTGACAGGCCAAGTGTGACTCCCTGGGCCTTCTCACCCCCTTATATAGGCGCCAGGTTCTCCTGCGCAGCTCTGATTGGCTGTCTTCGGATGTGTGTGCGTGTGTTATTTTCTTGGTTTGTGGTTTATTCGTTGCAACATTAGATAATAGAGATGCTCCATCAGGCTTCATATAATGCAACTTCAACATTTCCATTTACCCTGATGGCCACCCACCCAAACTAGAGGTGGCCAGGCCGAGGGATGGTGGCCAGTGGGTTTCGAGACAAAACGGCTCAATCTAAAAAAGCCCAAACCAGAATGGCCACTTGCTGTTGATAAACGCTAACCTAACTTCCCTAGCAACCAAACCCAGCGTTTTTTGAAGTGGCAACTGGTTGATATTTATCGTTTACATTTGACAGTTGCACGGTTGAGTTGGGTTGGAAGAGTTAGACTGTTTTGGTCAGGAAGTGGGGCCGTTTTGGTCTGAGGGTGGGGCTGTTTTGGTCACACGGTGGGGCCGTTTTGGTCACAGGGTGGGGCCGTTTGGTCACAGTGGGGCCGTTTTGGTCATGGTGGGGTCATTGGTCAGGGTGGGGCCGTTTTGGTCACAGGGTGGGGCCGTTTGGTCACACAGGTGGGCCGTTTTAGTGCAAGTGGGGCGTTTGGTCAGGGGTGGGGCGTTTTGTTATGGTGGGGCCGTTTTGGTTTGGGCCGTTTTCTCCTGCTACCGAATAAACCTGTGTTTGGTTATTTTCGGCGGGGGGGAACCTGTGAAAGTCCCATTAAACTTACGGATTTTCATTTCTTACCCCCCCTTTCTCTCCTTCCCCCCCTTCTCCTTCAACCCTTCTCCATACCCCTCTTGTTTTCTCCTCCTCTGCCTATTTCCCCATTCTGAAATGTATTGGATTATTCTCTCTCATCGCATAATCCACGCTGCAAATGCATAACTAACGTTGCCAGTGGAATATCAACGCGTCAACAATCTTCAACGCCGTCAACACATCTTCAACGCCATCAACACATCTTCAGCGCGTAACACATCTTCAACGCCCTCAACACATTAAAGTAGAGATAAAAGGTCCTTATTTTTTAATCTTTTCCCAGGATCAACGTCCTCGTATACACCACAGGATCATTGTCGTCATTAATCTCGTACATATTACAAAAATGAAACCATAATTTTCACTTTTGTATGAACTACGATGTTATTCTCGTATATACTAGAAATAATTTATATTTAAATAACTTAAGGTACAATAACACACACATACATAAAACACAAACTAAATCCAGCTTGAATGAACGAGACCTTTCCTGGTGTTCAACTCTGGTACTAACGATGCTCTACGCTCATCATTGGAATTTTTTTTTTTTATTGGGCACTCCCCTACATCCTTGTGTAAGGTGAAGCGCAAGAGCGTTTACAGCGCCCAACAGGGAAGCATGCTAAGTTCATGCTTGCCTTTATGTCTCATGAGTTAAGGGGTAGAAGCCTGAGAGTGAAGGGCATAAGCCTGAAGAGTCAATGGTTTGTGTCAATTTATTGGAAGCTCCAACAAGTTAACTTGTACCTGAATACGAATTCGCAACTTTCGATTTACACCAGGTACCTACTTTACTGCTAGGTGAACAGGGACTAATGGTGGCTAGGAAGTATGTCCAAACAACTTCCACCGGCCCGGGAATCGAACCCGTGACACCTCGCTTGCGAAGGCAAGAGCGGTACCACTCTACCACCAGCACCCCCCATCCTAGGAATGATTGGCTCGACCTCTGCGAAGTGCGTCACTAAATACTTTCGTTAAATTTTCCTGGAGTGATGTGTTCTCTTCCTCCAATATGTTATGAACATTTGTTGTCTCGCTTGTGTGTTTGTCTGCTTGTATGGCGATTGTTTAAGGTTTGATTTAATGGCGTTTGTTTTTTGGGTGGTATTGGGTCCGTTTGTGTGTTGTTTATGAGCCATGTTTTTGACGTGACCTTCATTTTCGACTTTCATCATATTCGTTAATAATTTATTTTTTCATTGCCAACATCTTCATTATCATCTGTTATTATAGTTATTTTTAATACAGGAGAATAATATCTAGTCAGAGGCGGTGGGGATACAGCATACTGTATACTAAACATTCAGCACACAGGGAGGCAACATTACTGACACACCATTTGAACACCTTTACTCCCACTTGTAAGGTTAGGTACTCATTCACAGCTTAGCGAGCTCTGGGGGGCCTTGGACAGAAGCATGCGACCCTTAAAATTAATTATTTATGCCGGTTAATATATACACTCAGACTGGGCCAATTAATGGTCATTATTATTAATTTATCATATTTAGTTTATTTTTGCCTTATGGTAATAATTATTTTTGCCATTCCTTGATAATTAATTCACTATCATAACATAACTTTATACCTACATTGAGGTTAAGTTAGGATCAAGTGAATTAGACTAGGCTAGGTTACATTAGGCTATGCGAGGTTAAATTGCCATAAGTTACACTAGGCTAGGTCTGGTTAAATTAGTAATGATACGGTTCATTTACAGTCAGTATTACAAGTATCTACAACATCACAAACCAGTAGACACACAGGGTAACATGACAGTCGGTACAGTAACTCCTACGTAATGATACAACTTCCTTAATTATGAAATAGAATACAAAGACCTGTTTTATTTCTCTATATGTTATGAGACGTTTAAAAGATTGTATAGGATACATAAAGAGGAGTTTTTTGTTCCACTTCTTTATTGTGTTAAGAGGCATAAGTAGGATGGTGAAATAAACAATAAAATATTAACCCAGGTCAAAGACTTCCAGCAGCTGCACCTTCTTTTAGTAGTATCTTGTTAGTTTGAAGAGTTTCGAAAATTATGGTCCTTGACTTTCCTTTATTAAGATCCTGATTAGCCTGGTAAGGGATTTCTATCAGAAGATTCCAGGTTCGAATCCTGGCAAGGTCGCCACTTGTAAAGGCCTGGGACTTAGGGATAGAAATCCCTTACCAGGCTAATCAGGATCTTAATAAAGGAAAGTCAAGGACCATGGTTTTCCGAGGAATAACAAACAACCGTTAGAGATTGGCATCTCTTTACTATAAAAATATAACAAAACTCTGACACCACTCAACAATCATCAAATAATGGGAGTCAGCAATTAAAGGAAGCAAACACTTAAAGGAATCAAACAAATAATAGAATCGAACAATAAAGGGGAGTCGGCAATTAATGGAATCAAACAATTAAATGGAGTCAACAATTGATAGAATCGAACAATAAAGGGGAGTCGGCAATTAATGGAATCAAACAATGAACAAATATTTCCTACGGCAGTGGCCCTGGGGAAGGTTCTGAACGCGGTGATGCACACTCAGGGCAGGGAAGCGTCCACTTCCACACTCAGCAACGTCTTGAAAAGGCAGGAGAACACCGGGGCACCGACGGAATGTGATGAACTGATGGTCGTGGTATGCGGTAGTGGTAGATGACCAGAGAGTTGGCAGTTGATAGGTGAAGGTCTGGGAAAAAAGCCCACGAGTCCAGGACCTATGATGAGATCACAGCCAGAATTTGACGGACAGCAGGGTAGCTAGATACTGACGGTATGGCGGCTGGGTTGAATCTGCCCGCGGCGGAGAGGGTTGCTGCCGTTATCACCTCCGTCCAACCACCCCAAGTGTCGTCTGCACCAGCAAACGAGCGAGTTAGCAGCGGTAACTAGCCGGAGGATCGTTTCTGCCCTTACAGACAGGTCAAAGACAGGTTAACGTGTAAAAGGTCAACAATTATAAAGGAAGTGAATAATGTTCCATCATTTCTTTCTTCGATCAGTCAATGGCTGTGTCAAGTTATTCTTCCTTTCTTTCCTCTTCTAGTTATTCTGTAACTACAAATTCCTTCATGTGTAATAAGCGTTTGTCTTTCTTGGCTCAGTGTAGGGCTAGTTTGCACACCTTGACATCCAGACAAGCGTCTTCACAACATTTCTCGTGGAACGGACAGTCGTAATCTTTCCTGCACGCCTGTAATAATAAAGAGTTTGTCGAGTAAAGTAGAGTGTAAGAATAATAAAAATCACGATTAAGAGCAGTTATTAACATATTAGCAGTTATGTCCACTTTGTAATGGACAGGTAGAGTCAAGTAGGAGACAGACAAGATATTCAGAAGACTCTTTAAACATACCGGGATATCAGTAAAGGAGAACGGACAAACTGGGCGTATACGTGGGCATCTACCAGGATGAGCTGTGAAAAAATTACTTCTCATTAGCCATAACGTTTACCCCAAGATTTAGCTTTTATTGGACCCTGGATAAATTTTGCATCATCGAATCCCCCATTTAATGGACAACACAGGAAGAAAGATTATAACGAAAGGAAGGTCCATTAGTTATGAAATCTCCACCAAAAGTTTTATTTGGAGAGAGAGAGAGAGAGAGAAGTCCGTTCACGTAGAAAACACTAGTTAAAACAAAGAAATACTATCCATAATAACTCGCTTCTAAGTCAAGTATTAATAAAAAGAGTACTCACGATCACAGCAGATATAGTCAGGAGCGCCAGGGTACGGGTCTGGATTGGGACAGAAAGCTGTACAGTCAGACGACGGTGGTGGTGGTGGTGGTGGTGGTGGTATGATGTCAGTCAACGCCACCGCCACACACGCCACCAGCACCAACACTCGAAGACTCTTAAGGATGAATTTAGTTTAGCTTGGTTGAGTTATGCAAGACACACATACAATTTTGTTGTTACGTCTAGTAGAACGAAACAACTACTTATTTTTTTTATATAACCAAAGTATAATCAATATTCACATGACAATATAGAAGAAAAAATCATAAGAATGTTTTTTTTTCATACAAAATAATGGTCTGTAAATTGGTGCCAACTAAGGGATCTGTTGCGTGTAAGTAAAGTATATCTAAAATAACAAACCATGTTTAAAGTTGTAGCTTGTCAGAGATCAGTGCCCCTCCTGCTGTCAACCTGCCACCTCGCACTGTTTTTTATACCCTGTACGTCCTTCATCCCAGAACCTGGCGGGAATGTTCAGCGAATCAGGGGCCAAGTTGTTGGGAAAATTGGTGATGGTTTGGTTTGCGGTTGTTTGCTTGTGCCTTGTCAAAGTGTTGTGTTACAGAGACGTGACCGATCGCCCAAGCGGCTAACGAGTCGATCATTTGGTGAAGAGGATAAAAGAAAAAGTAAAGTAACACGGAAGAGAGGTGATGAGCTCTGGGAAGGTGAATGGAGTGGTCTCAAGACTTCCTTCCCTCAGCCTGAGGGCATCGGTAAGAGAACCCTTTCATTTTTATTAGGGTTTTGTCTGTATTATATTCTGTTGTTATTTGTTTATGTCTTATTGGTTTATGGTTCATGTTGGTATTATGTTAATATGTCTGGTGTTATTACTGTAGGAGTTTGAGATAAAGGTTTTTATGTTTCTTAGTAGGACTCTACCCCACGTCAAGGGCGGGCGTGAGAGACCTCATCCTCAATGTTCCCAAATCCTTATCCTCTAAGGAACATATATCGCCTGGCTTGACTAGTCGTGGGGACTCGCTGAAGCCAGTGGACTTAAGTTTTCAGGATCTCGGTTCAGTGGCGACCAGAAGTCTAACCCCATCCCTTGTGTATGCTATTCGGGGGAGCTGGGACTCCACTGTACTTCGGGGTAACTTGACACAAAATTGTTTTCTATTTGTGTAATAATGTAAATTTTATTTTGATGAAAATTTGTTATTTAGCATCTCGGAATAGATTGGTTCACCATTATTAAAGATCCCATTTACATATATATATAGAATATACGGTTAATTTCCACACATAATGGCTTACCTGCCAATATAATGGTTTATCTTTACAAGCAAAAATATAATATTCAAAAATGTTTTCTAAAGAGAATGTTTTTACTGTGTTTGTTATATATTGCATTATCTATATAAATATAACCTTTTTCATAATACATTTAAAATTTATTCTCTCCCTTGTTCATAAACCATTATGCATTATAAAATACTAAAACAACTTTCCTATCGACCACAGATTCTTTATCAACGTGTCGAGGACGAACGACCTATACCGAGATTCTGAAGAAAATTAAATGGGTCCAAAAAATCAAATGTTCTCTAAATCTTGGTTTGTTTCATCGGCGTACAGATAAAGGATCTGTGGACAAAGATTATGAAATTCTGATTAAGTGTTCTCAGACTAATTGGCATAATTAGCAAAACTAGATTATCTAGGGTACTATTCTTTGAGTGATTAATACACAATTAAATTTTAGTAGTCAAGAGAAAGACGACGGTGTCCTGGCACCAAACAAGTGTTGACGTGTGAGAGAGCAGCGAGGCTGGTCAGTCTGGTGTGCTGAATGAGCGGCCACCAGTGGTAGTGGAGGCGGGCGGAGTATGGAGGATAACATGACACATATCCCTGGCGTCCAGACGTAGTTCTGGTGTGGGTGACGGTGGTTCATATTCTTCTTGATTCTTACCAGATGTCAAGTGTCAGTTTATCAATGAAGCCTTGAGAATGAACTGTGGAGTACAGGCTTCAGAGTCGATCAGTTAAGTTGGTGGTGAGATGACTGATACGGCAACAGACATAGTCGCCAGTAATCCTTTATGTCCGGTGCAGGTGAGCTGGTGCAGGTCTCTATAATGGCAGAAAACATGTAATGACCTGGTCTATGAATCCCGCTTCTAGGAGTCCAGTGGGGCATCTGTGGTGGCAGCAGGAGTGGTGTATAGGCCGCAGGTGGGTAGCAGCAGGAGTGGTATAGTCTGTGGTGGTGGCAGGAGTGGTTGGTCTGTGGTGGTAGAAAGTTGTTATATGGGTATAATCTGGCAGGTGGGTGGAAGGAGTGGTATAGTCTGTGGTGGTGGGAAGGAGTGGTATAGTCTGTGGTGGTGGCAGTGGTATAGTCTGTGGTGGTGGTGGTGAGTGGTATAGTCTGTGGTGGTGGTGCAGGAGGTATAGTCTGTGGTGGTGGGCAGGAGTGGTATAGTCTGTGGTGGTGGCAGGAGTGTGTATAGTCTGTGGTGGTGGCAGGAGTGGTAGGTCTGTAGGTGGCAGGAGTGGTATAGTCTGTGTGGGTTAGCAGGAGCAGTATAGTCAGTGGTGGTGGCAGGAGTGGTATAGTCTGGTGGTGGTAGCAGCAGGAGTGGTGTATAGTCTGTGGTGGTGGCGGCAGGAGAGTGGTATGGGTCTGTAGGTGGCGGGGATGAGTGGTATAGTCTGTGGTGGTGGCAAGAACAGTATAGTCCAGGGTTCTCAACCAGGAGGGAATTCAGGTTTTGTGGGGAAAGTGATTCGGAGCCAGAGATAAGTTCGATGAGAAATCAATCACAGAATTTTGGCCCTTGATGTGCGATACCTACCCAAAAGTGGCAGAAAGAGCTATCCGTGTCTTGCTTGTTTGTGTCGACATATCTTTGTGAGTCAGGCTTCAACTCAATTGCAAATTAAAACGAAGCAACGTAGTAGATTAGAGGTAGAAAATCTGCGTTGTGTTTTCTCAAACACTTCTCCGCGTATTCCTGAATTGGCACAGAAAAACAATCACAGGTTTCTCATTGACAATCTTCATCTGAATAAAATTAATTACAAATTTACAATATCCTGGTATTCTATTGAACTTTGTTTATTGCATTATGCTTCAGTTTGGTCTGTTAAGTAATTCATTATAAATATAAAAACTTTTTATTCAAGTTTTATAAATCCATCAACATTTTCAATTGGCATTTAATTTGTAAACTCACTTATAAAAATAATCCATGTAAAATTGTAAATGTATATGTACTAATATGGAAAAAATAAAGGATTTTCAGTATCATATGCATATTATTTGGAATGCACTTTTTGAGGCAGACAATCTTGGAAAGGAGGAGGGAATGACATTCTGACATATGGTGCAAGGGGTGCATGTGGCAAACAAGGTTGAGAACCACTGGTATAGTCTGTGGTGGTGGAAGGAGTGGTTTAGTCTGTGGTGATGGCAGGAGTGGTATAGTCTGTGGTGGTGGCAGGAGTGGTATAGTCTGTGGTGGTGGCAGGAACGGTATAGTCGGTGGAGGTGACAGGAACGGTATAGTCGGTGGTGGTGACAGGAGTGGTGTAGTCTGTGGTGGTGACAGGAACGGTGTAGTCTGTGGTGGTGACTGGAACGGTATAGTTAGTGGTTGTGACAGGAACGGTATAGTCTGTGGTGGTGACAGGAACGGTATAGCCTGTGGTGGTGGCGGCAGGAGTGGTTTAGTCTGTGGTGGTGACAGGAACGGTATAGTCGGTTGTGGTGACAGGAGTGGTATAGTCTGTGGTGGTGACAGGAACGGTATAGTCTGTGGTGGTAACAGGAACGGTATAGTCGGTGGTGGTGGCAGCAGTGGTATAGTCTGTGGTGGTGACAGGAACGGTATAGTCGGTGGTGGTGGCAGGAACGGTATAGCCGGTGGTGGTGACAGGAACGGTATAGTCTGTGGTGGTGGCAGGAGAGGTATAGTCTGTGGTGGTGGCAGGAGTGGTATAGTCTGTGGTGGTGACATGAGTGGTATAGTCGGTGGTGGTGACAGGAACGGAATAGTCGGTGGTGGTGACAGGAACGGTATAGTCGGTGGTGGTGACAGGAACGGTATAGTCGGTGTGTGACAGAACGGTATAGTCGGTGGTGGTGACAGGAACGGTATAGTCTGTGGTGGTGGCAGGAACGGTATAGTCTAAGGTATGGACAGGAGTGGTATAGTCTGTGGTGGTGACAAGAACGGTATAGTCTGTGGTGGTGACATGAGTGGTATAGTCGGTGGTGGTGACAGGAACGGAATAGTCGGTGGTGGTGACAGGAACGGTATAGTCGGTGGGTGACAGGAACGGTATAGTCGGTGGTGGTGACAGGAACGGTATAGTCGGTGGTGGTGGCAGGAACGGTATAGTCTGGTATGGACAGGAGTGGTATAGTCTGTGGTGGTGACAGGAACGGTATAGTCGGTGGTGGTGACATGAGTGGTATAGTCTGTGGTGGTGACAGGAACGGAATAGTCTGTGGTGGTGACAGGAACGATATAGTCTGTGGTGGTGACAGGAACGGTATAGTCGGTGGTGGTGACAGGAACGGTATAGTCTGTGGTGGTGGCAGGAGTGGTATAGTCTGTGGTGACAGGAACGGTATAGTCTGTGGTGGTGACAGGAACGGTATATCTGTGGTGGTGACAAGGAACGGTATAGTCTGTGGTGGTGACAGGAACGGTATAGTCGGTGGTGGTGACAGGAACGGTATAGTCTGTGGTGGTGACAGGAACGGTATAGTCTGTGGTGGTGGCAGGAGTGGTATAGTCTGTGGTGGTGGCAGGAGTGGTATAGTCTGTGGTGGTGACAGGAACGGTATAGTCGGTGGTGGTGACAGGAACGGTATAGTCTGTGGTGGTGGCAGGAGTGGTATAGTCTGTGGTGGTGGCAGGAGTGGTATAGTCTGTGGTGGTAGCAGGAGTGGTGTATAGTCTGTGGTGACAGGAACGGTATAGTCTGTGGTGGTGACAGGAACGGCATAGTCTGTGGTGGTGACAGGAACGGTATAGTCTGTGTGGTGGCAGGAGTGGTATCGTCTGTGGTGGGACAGGAACGGTATAGTCTGTGGTGGTGAAAGGAACGGTATAGTCGGTGGTGGTGGTAGCAGTGTATAGTCTGTGGTGGTGACAGGAACGGCATAGTCTGTGGTGGTGAAAGGAACGGTATAGTCGGTGGTGGCAGTATAGTCTGTGGTGGTGACAGGAACGGATAGTCTGTGGTGACAGGAACGGTATAGTCTGTGGTGGTGGCAGGAGTGGTATAGTCTGTGGTGGTGGCAGGAGTGGTATAGTCTGTGGTGGTAGCAGGAGTGGTATAGTCTGTGGTGGTGGCAGCAGTGGTATAGTCTGTGGTGGTGGCAGCAGTGGTATAGTCTGTGGTGGTGACAGGAACGGTATAGTCGGTGGTGGTGACAGGAACGGTATAGTCTGTGGT